ATGATAGGTGCTCAGAGTGCAGTGATCATTATCTAGATCAGCTCCTAGCTCTCACCCACGGTAACTGGTAACTGGTCTCTCTTTCATGACCTTGGTTACCAGTGGGTTCTCCCATTTCCTGGAAATCGGACAACACATCTCAAAGATGTTTACTCTCTGATAATTTCACACTTTCTTTCTAGTGTCAGAACCCTTTGCTCACTTCTTGTTCTCACATAATGACCTTATGTTAGTTGTTCCCCAGAATCTTAAACAATTTTTAATTCTACCTTGTATGGGTCTTGATGAGATGCAATAAAAAAAAATAAACAGGTCAGAGGGTCACCATCTCACACTCTCAGCACTTGGACTGGTGCAAATGACCTACAGTTGGTCAATCTGGCCAACCAGGGCTCTATAGCAGTTAGTTATTCATAGTGGTGGCTGTCGCAGAGTGTCCTGTGTAGGCAGCTCATAGAAAGGGTTTTCACCAGACTTTTCCAGTCTGTGCTAGTCCTTAAGCATATACAGATAACTCACAATTTTTACTTATAACTTCTACCTCTTGCCGCAAGCCACGACTCCGTCCAGCAGAGCCGAGGAAAGACGACACAGACACCAAGGTGAGGTTCAGGCTTCTTCTTCTCACTCTCTCCCCTCTCTCTCTCTTTATTACACACTTCAGCTCTTCATATAGCGTTCCCAACAGCCCTCCCCCCAGCCAGGACCAATCAGGGCACACACGCACACGTAGCGGGCAGGCAGAGTGGCAGCTTATTGGGCCACGTAGCAGGATCATACTCGATGATGTCTCTGATCAAGCAGGCAGCACATGATCGGGCTTATTGTGCTTGCGCAGGTTGGAGTAAACAAGTGAGGGGCACGAGGCTTGGCAGCCAGCCAGGGCGCCATCTTGGCCAGCTCGACCACGCCTGCTTCCCACAACCTCTCTGTTGACTCCAAACTTATATAGTCAGCTGCTTACTTGGTAGTTCCACTTAGACACGTAAAAATGCATCTTAGATATTAAATGACATCAAAACTTGATTTTTCATAGAACTGTTTACTCCCCATGTCTTTCCTATTTAATAAGTGGCAGCCAATCATTCTATTCAGTTACTTAAAGAAAAACTCATGGACCATCCCTGTGTTGGATAGCTTTAATTGTCAACCTGACATACCTGGGTTGAGGGAGCCTTATTTGGGGAATTGCCTCCGTTGGACTGGCCTGTGGCTGTATTTGTGGGGCATTTTCTTGATTGTTAGGTGAAGTGGGAGGGTCCAACCCACTGTGGGTGGTGCCACCCTGGACAGATAATTCTGTATTTTATAAGAAAGCAAGCTGAACGTGGGTCAGGGGAGCAAGCCAATAAGCAGCGTTCCTCCATGGCGTGTTCTTCAGCTCCTGCCTCCAGGTTCCTGCTCTGAGTTCCTACCTTGGGCTCTCTCAGTGATGAACTGTAACATCTCATAAGCCAAATAAACCCTTTCCTCCCCAAGTTGGTTTTGGTCAGAGTGTTTTGTTGCAGTAATTGAAGGCCAACTAAAACAGAAATTGGTACCAAGAGTGGGATATTGCTGTGACAGACCTGACCCAGTTGGTTTTGAGAGGATTGCTCTTTTCCCTTTAGTATTAATTCACATCCAAGGCACTTGAATCCTGTTGGCTCTATTGTCAAAGTATATCCTAATCCTGTTGCAGACATGCTAGCAGCTGGATTTCTGCAATGACTTCTGTGGTAGGCTGATGCCCCCCACCCCCAAGGATGTCTATGCCCTAATCTCTGGAACTTGATAATTTACTTCATACCTTTAAACCACTTTGCAGATATGATCAAATTAAGGATGTTGAGATAGAAAGATTATAGTGGATTATTCAGGCAACTGGCCCAATGGGAACCTGAAGCATTCTCCTAAGAAGGCAGGAACATTATTTACAGTCAGTAGTAGATGTGACAATGAAAACAAGAAATCACTTGTCGTGATTTGAAGAAGAGGCCATAAGCCAAGGAAGAACTGGCCTAGAACTCATTCTGGAGTCCAGGATGGCCTGAAACTTGCTTCTGTCTTCTTTCTTTAATTTACCTAGTCCTGGGGTTACAGGCATTTGCCATCAAGCTGGACCCTGCCATCTTTTTCTATAGTCTCTACACCATAGACAAGGGATTATTTATTTATTTATTTATTATTTATTAGTTTTATTTTATGTGTATGAGTGTATTGCCTGCGTGTAGGTAAGTGCACCCATGTTGTGCAATGCCCACGGAGGACAGAAGAGGCCGTCAGATCCCCTGGAACTGGAGTTATGGACAGTTCCATGGCTGCCATGTGGGTGCTGGGATTTGAACCCAGGTCTTCTGCAAGAACAACCAGTGTTCTTAAGTGCTGAGCCATCTCTCCAGCCCTGATAGGGGATCTTTTAAATATAAATATGATTGTCATAGTTCTGACAAGGAAGTTTTCTTCCTTAATCAAGAACTTTCTTTGGGGGTTTAATTTTTTTAATGGTGAATTCATGCATACTAGACAAATGTTCTACCAGTGAGACACACCCCTGTGGCCTCTTTATATCTGGAACAACATCCACATTTACTATAGTTATAGGCCCTATGATGTGATCTAATCCCTGGCTACTTCTCTGTACTCTTTCACTCCTTCCACATGCTCTCTCTGCCCTTGAGGCAGGATAGAAAGACAGAAAAAACTATGAGGATTTGGAAAGTGAGAGAAGCCCCTCACCCTCGGATCTAGTTTGTATTTCTTGCTGGCTGAAAGTCAAGAAACGTCAACACAACTGGTAACACCAAAATTTCCTGCAGAGACAGTGCCCGACTTCCTAAAGACATGTCAAACAAAGACACTAAAACAACAAACTGCTGATTTAGGGTCAGATTGTTGACAGCCTTGCGTTTAGCTATTACCAGTCCTCTCTTATCCCTAAATGTAAACAGTGGACCTCATAAAACCACCTTACAATTTCATGTACAAAAAAAGTCCTTTTAAGTAAACCACCCACCCCTGTGTTTTAGACAGGGTCTCATTTCACAGGCTTGGCTGATCTGGAACTCACTATGTAGACCAGGCTGGCTTCGAATTCATACAGATCTGCCTGCCTCTGCCTCCTGAGTGCTGGAATTTAAGGTGTGTGCCACCAGAGACCAGCTCATGTTTTAAAGTTACTTGTAAAATTTGCTAATCTTTAAACTGTGTTATGAATTATATCCTTTGAATAATGTAACTTCAAAAATTGCAAAATCATCTCTTTGACTCTCTCAATCCATGCCCATGTCTCAGTGTGCATGTGTGTGAGGATGTACAGCCTTTTTTTTAAAAAAAATTATTTTATGTGTTTGAGTATATTGCTGGCATGTATGTAAGTGCACCCGTGTTATGCAATGCCCTTGGAGGTCAGAAGAGGGTGTTGGATCCCCTGGAACTGGAGTTATGAACAGTTGTTAGCCACCATGTGGGTGCTGGGATTTGAACCCAGGTCCTCTGAAAGAGCAGCCAGTGCTCTTAATCACTGAGCCATCTCTCCAGCCCCATACTGCCCTTTTCTTAAGCACCCCTTTCTCTAACTCCTGGGGCTTAAATCTAAAGTCTGTATTCTCTTAGCTCTACTTAAATAAATTCTGGTAACTTTACTTCACATTCTGACTCTGAACTGAAATTATGTTCTGTAATATAATCAAAGATCTAACTTTATCTGAATAGAGATTCCTAAGTGGGGAACTCCTCAGATTTGTGGTACTATTGCTGAGCTGCATCTCTCTGACATCGCTGTAACCCCCCTTCCCACTAGCACCACTTGGGTTTGCTGACTTGGGGCAACTGGTTTCCTCTTTGAGGTCCTTGTTCTAGACATTCCCTTGTTCTGAAACACTGTGTCCCCAGAATTTTGGATGTCTGGTCCCTTTATCTTTCAGTCCAAAGTCATTCTTTTCAGGGGAAACTCCCCAGATCACAGTGTAAAGTGACCCCGTCACTGCCATTGTATCACCCCGCTTAGCTGTCTTCACAGCATTCATTATCTGAAGCTGTACTACTCAACTTGTTTTGGTTGTTATTTCCTTCCTACCTTTCATCTCAAGTTCTATGGAACCAGGAACTTGCATGTCTTGTGTATTGCTGTATCTCCAACCCCTAAAATTGTCTTGCACAGGCTAAAATGCACTCAGCAAAAACATTTTGCAAGACTGAATGCATGACCTTACAGAAGAATCCAAGTTGGCTACTAGCAGAGCAGGGCCTAGAGCCCAAATCTCCTGACTAAACCCAGAGGCAGAAGACTGGATTCTAGTCAAGGGTGCTAGAGCTGTGGGTTGGCTTTTAGGAGGCCACCCAGCCTGTCTAGAAGGTGTCCAATTTTATTAAATGACTTGGGATGGGCATGTGGTTCACTGGTAAAGCATTTGCCTAGCATATACAATGCCTGGAGTTCACTCTCTAGTATTGCATAACAAACCAAATTTATTATATGGCAACGACAATAAGTTAAAAAAAAAAACTTGACTGGATGAGTCTTAACATATATGACAGAATGCATGAAATCTGGTGGTGGTGGGGCTATGAGGGCTGTGGATGGAGGAGGGGGTCTAAATTTGATTAAGAGCTAGTATATGAAATACACAAAAACTCAATAAAATACACATTAAAAACAATGACTGTGCTTATCACTTTCTATGTACCAGACAATGTTCTATATTTGACTATAAATCCACCTGTTCTTCAGAACCATATTGTGAAGGAGATACTGTAAACCTCACTTTAAAGATGAGGAAACTTAGGCAATGGAATGTTAGGTAACCTGCTCAAAATAGAGCTGACTATACGTTTCTATCAAACCTCTCTTTTGTTCTCATTCCCTCACACGACTGGGGCGAACCCGTCAGGAGCGAAACTCCAAGACAGTCCAAGACTATTCCTCATCCTGGACTGATGGGGGCGTCTGAAAGCGCAAGCGCAAGGCGGGTGAAACGGACGCAGGGATTGGTGGAAGAGACTTGCTACTTAACGGCGGAAGTCCCATCCAGTGTGGGCGGGACTTCCGGCTGTAACCGCTGGCAGGGTTTGTACACGAAGTTGGGATCTGCTGAGGTTGGGATGGTGTTGCTGGAGAGCGAGCAGGTACAGGAGGATGTGGCGGGCGGGGCGCAGTTGGGGGTGATGCGGGGACCCGTGTACTCCTTTGTGGGAGGGGCAGGGCCTTGACGCGGCGCGGCGAGGACTTGAGCGACCTAACGGGGCCTGTTGTGTTCCAGTTCCTGACGGAGCTGACCAGGCTCTTCCAGAAGTGCCGGTCTTCGGGCAGCGTGTTTATCACCTTGAAGAAATGTAAGCAGCCGTCGGGGCAGGGCGGGAGGCAAGTGGGGTGTGGGGAGGGCAGCCTGGGAGCTGCCGGTGTCCGGGGGGCCTCGAGAGCGGGTCTGCGGCTGTTCCGCCTTTCTCCTCCTAGCCCCGGCACATCCAGGCTTCAGGGCCCCGGAAATGCGAGGAAGTGTGGTCGCTGTGGTCCCAGCACCCAGTCACTGGTCACAGTGGGCCCTAGGCGAGCCAGAACCCAGCTTTCTGTCAGGCACCCAAATCTCAGCCCCAAGTGGTGATGGGTGATTAGTTTAACGGAATCCAGAGTAGGGACGGTAGAATAGGACACCCGTATCCCTTCTCTCTTTTCTTTCGAACTATCAGCAAGTATGTGGCCGTGTTTACCAGGCTGTATTTTTCTCGCAGATGATGGTCGCACCAAACCCACTCCACGGAAGGGTTCCGTGGAGGGCGTGGAGCCCGCAGAAAACAAGTGTCTGTTGAGGGCCACCGATGGGAAAAAGAAGATCAGCACCGTGGTAAGCTGGGGGTCTTTTCTTTTCTTTTTTGAGACAGGCTGGCCTTGAACTCATAATCTTCCAGGTAGCTGAGATTACAGGTGCAACCCACTCCACTTGGCTAGTGAGCTGAATTTTTCTTTTTTGGGGTAGGATCTTTGAACTTATGATCCTCCTGCTTCAACCTGTGTTGAAATTACAGGTGTGTATTGTTATGTCCAGCAAAATTGATTTTGTGTGTGCCTCTGTCTCTGTCTCTCTCACTCTTGTCTGTGCCTCTAGCTGATAATTAAGGACAGGATCTTCCTCATGCTAGGCAATCACTTGGCCATTGACTGCACTTCCAGCCCCAGGACCTATATTGTTTCTTAAAATGACATGTTGGATTTTAAAAAGATTTGAAGTTGAGGATTTTTTTTTTTTTTTTTTTTAAGGCAGGGTCTGTACCTTTGACTGGTCTCCAATTTGATCCTTCCTCCTTTGCCTCATGAATGCTGGGATTATAGGAATTACAGGAATGGACACCACTCCTGGCTTGTATAAGAAGGGATTTTAACAAAGGTGAAAAACTGGTTTGATAGGAGCCCACTTTTGCCTTCCCATCTTTGTTCAGTGCTCATGTGAGAAGGTGCAGAGCTACTTTGTTCTTCAGAGCAAGGTAGAATGGAAAATTAGCCCTTACTGCGTTCTGGCCCTTGAAGTTGGGAATCAGTATTTTAAAGATTTAGATAGTGTCTTCATGAAGCATTCTAGGATACTGTCTGGGTGGGAGAAATAATATCTATATGCATAAAAAGCAGTGACCTCTTTTTTTCCTTTTCTAGGTGAGCTCCAAAGAAGTGAATAAGTTTCAGATGGTGAGTCGTAAGGGTTCCTCACAGCTTCCACCTCATGGCAAGAGTTTGCATTACTAATGAACACTGGATTGGGATTGGGACTTGGCTTCATTGCTCTCCTGTGATTTTTTTTTTTTCCTTATTTTTTTGGTCTTTTTGGGACAAGGTTTCACTGTAGCCTCAGCCAGCCTGGAACTCACTATGTAGACCAGACTGCCCTTGAACTCACGGAGATCCGCCTCCCTCTCCCTCTCCCTCCCCAGTGCTGGAACTGAAGGTGTGTGCCACCACACCCAACTTTCTCCTGTGATGTTTTATAGTTTTCAAGTAAAAACCACTAGGCCGAATTTCAACAATGGTATTTCTTTTAACTTTTTAAGGTTACATTTTGCTTAGACTTCAGATACGTTCTGTCTATAATATCAAATAAGTGGTCTGAAGTTTTCCCCTTTTTGTTTTAAAAAAGTGAAAAGCCTGCAACTCCCCGTAGAGGAGTGTTGCAGAAGCTAGTATACTGTTAAAGTGCCTTTAATGGTGTAGCAGTTCCTGGTGCACATGTCCCATGATGCTTCAGTAGGCTTTTCTCATTTGGCTCCCCTAAGTCTACTGTGCAAACAGTAGCTACTTCAGTTTGTACCATTTCCTGCTGAGGGCATGTTCTGTCTTTCAGGCGTATTCAAACCTGCTGAGAGCTAACATGGATGGGCTGAAGAAGAGGGACAAGAAAAACAAGAGTAAGAAGACCAAACCAGCACAGTGAAGGGCACTGGCTTCACCTAACCACAGAACTGCTATTGGCTATTGTTTTTGTGATTTTGGTCATAAGTTAGACTTTTGGTCCCCCACCATAAGTAACTGCTTACATGTAAGGTCATTTTGGAGAGGGGCTGGGATGTTCATAGGGCAGTTGTGGTAAGAAGCCAGTTTATTTTACATATTTGTTGCATGGCCGAATGTTCCTGGATTACAGCTTTAAAGAGCCTCTGTAGTCATCTCTGAAGAGCTGTGTATCATTAAACCTATCAGCATTTGCTGTCCCTTATTCCTTCTATCCCAAATTAATAGTTCTGGCAATAACTACTGATTCTAGAATGATATGATTACTTAATGGTTTTTGCCTTCTAGGCTATTGGAATTGAAACCTGACAATTTTATAAAAAGATATGTTATAAGCATTCTTACCTGGTTGTAAAGCTGAAAAATTACATTTATTTTTGAGTGTTTGTACCACTGTTCATGGGTGGAAGTCACAGGACAATTTGATGAGTCCTCTCCTCTTTCCATGTGTGTCCCAGGGATTGAACTAAGATCATTGGGCTTGGCAGCAAGTACTCTTATACCTACAAGTGATCTCATAGGCCCTGGTTGTGTAATTGTACCACTATGATTCAGTCTGAATGAGTTTTTGTAGGCAAACGAGAGTTTGTTTAATCACATTAGGATAAATATTACATGATTCAAAAAAATTCAGCCTGGTGTGGCACAAGCCTGTAATCCCAGTTAGGAGGCTAAACAGGAAGGAGGATTCTTGAGTTTGAGGCCAGCCTAGGCTCCATAGTAAAACATTGTCTCAAAACCTATCCGCTTTTCTACCCCAAAACAGCCAAAAAGACAAAACAGATTCCAAGGGGGATGATTTTTGTCTCTATGGCTATTTATCTACTAGGAAACAAAATGTTAGGACATTTTCATGTGCTTAGTGTTTAGGATCAAGAGAAAAACAAGGCTATTTCTATCTCCAGTTCCATATAACCTTTATCTTTTCTCCCTCCTTCCTTCCTTCCATTTATTGAGACAGGTTCTCCCTGTAGCCCCAGCTGGCCTGGAATTCACTATGTAGACCAGGCTGGGCTTGATTTTACAGAGATACACTTGCTCTGCCTCCTGAGTGCTGGAACTAAAGGCATCTGCTACCATGCTTGACTCCATAAAACTTTTTTTTTTTTTTTGAGACAGGGTCTCCCTGTAGCTCCAATTGGCCTGGAACTCGCTATGTTGACTAGGCTGGCCTTGAACTCACAGAGATCCACCTGCCTCTGCCTCCCAAGTGCTGGGATTAAAGGTGTGCACCACCACGTCTGGCCCATAAAACCTTTAGTATTGATAGAATTGTAACTAGAAAGCAAATATTAGAAAGCATTTATTATATCCAAAAAGATAAATTTATAATACATTAAACATGAAAACCTGACAAAGCTCAACTTTGTAGGACAGCTTCTTAGAATTTCAAGCTAATTTAAAATGACATTGAATGCACAACATTCTACTTCAGTATAAGCCCGTCCATTTGGACAATGTTATGACAGTTCATGAGGTTAAAATAGGATTCTGTAGTAGTCATCTCTGTAGCTGTACAGGAATAGCACCGACACCCTGCAGAAGAAAGGAGAAGACAGGTATGATGACAGACTTAGTTTGGTGGGTGAAGAACAGGGCTAATACTTCTAGGACACTTTTTAAAAAAAAATTTATGTGTATGAGTGTATTGCTTGCATGTATGTGAGTGCACCTGTGTTGTGCAATGCCACGGAGGTCAGAAGAGGGCTTCGGATTGCCCTGGAACTGGAGTCAAGGACGGTTCATAGCTGCCATATGGGTGCTGGGAATTGAACCTGGGTCCTCTGCAAGAGCAGTCAGTGCTCTTAACCAGTGAGCCATCTCTCGAGCCCCAGGATACTTAAGAGCTTGTTTAATTAAAAATATGGTAGAAGACTAATCACTAGAATGTGTATAAGCTTTACTGAAGCTATGACTGGCATGAATCTGCAGTTACAGGTTCTATGTAGGAGCTTACTGTTGAGCCTCTCACCAGCATCCTTGTCCTTTAAGTGCAATGATAACATGAAGGATTGGCATTTTGACCCAAAGACCTAAAGCAAAGTAGTTATAGTTCTGTTTTTCTTATTTTTTGTTTGAGACAGCCTTGTTTAACCCAGACTCCTTGAACTCCTGATTCTTCTGTCTCTACCACCTTTGTGCTATGATTACAGCTATATGTACCACCATGTCTGGCTCATTTCTTTCATTTAAACATACTTTTTAGAGGTTCAGGAGATGGGCCAAGTAAAGTGCCTGCCACATAAGCACAAGGACTTGAGTTTGAGTTCAGATCCCTAGAACCCATGTAAAAACCTCAGCATGGTGGTGCATACCTGTAACCTCAGTCATGGATGAAGTAGAGACAGGCAGGTCCCTGAAGCTCACTGATGCTAGTCAGCCTAGCTGACTGATGAGCTTCAGGTTCAGGGAAAGACCCTATCTCAAAAAGGAAAGAGTGGCGTATGATTGAAGATGCCAAACATTGACCTGGACCTCCACATGCATGCACATACCATACTGCCCCCTGCCCCCAATATAAAAAAATTCAACATACATTTAGAAGTTTCCTGGTTGAACAGTGTTCTAACTGGGATAGCTATGCTCAGGCCTACAATGCTGTATTACAAGATTCTCAGTGATTGAGAGCCTGAGTAAGAGTTACTGGTTGCCAACCACAGTTCTAACAACTTGTTAGCTGTCAGACTTAAAGACAAGACGCTCCTGAAACCCCTCCTGGATTTTAACCAGGTGAAATCTGCCAGACCTAAGGGATAACTTACTTTTTTTCAACTTTGATCTTATAAATTTCGTCACAGACTAATTTGAGGTATCTCTGTTTTGGCAGGCGTGACAGCAGCTGCTTTACAGTTGTGTTAAATGCCTGTTCATCAGCATCCCACTAGGAAAGATCAGACAAGATGTATCAGAACCAAACAGTAGGGTGTATCAAACCTGGCCTCTTCCTGGGTCACTGATGAAATGCCAGTGTCATTCTCCCATTCAGTATATCAAGAGTCGGTTATAGAGACAACTGGTGGGGAGACTGCTCTGGCTCTTCCTTGAAAGATCACTTTCTTTAAAAATACAGGTATTTAGCACCCAGGAGTGCTAATGCCTAACACCTGCGTGCTAATGTGACTTGGGATCTGTTTTTGTTGTTGTTTACTTAGTGTAAAATGGAGATACTTTGTTTAATGTCTATCTACTTTGAGGACCATAAATCAGCAAACTGCTAACAGTGGTGTATGCTTATTTGTAAGATAACAGGATCTTACTATATAGCATTATCTGACATTTCTTAGTGCTGAAGTTACACGTGTTGGTCACGATGCACAATCAGTTTATTTTTAATCTGTTTAAATATTAGCTGGATAAGAAAGTATTCTTTGATTAAAAAAAGTTTAAAAAATCACCTATAACCTGTAATCTCAGCACTTGGGAGGCTGAGGATCACTACAGTTTGAGCTGGCTACATGGTGAGATCCTGTCTCACAAAAAATGTAAAGTAAAAAACAATCACTAGCAAGAGAAACTTTATATTTAAACATTTTTTTTAAATATATATTTTAAGTCTTTTGAGACAGGGTCTCCCTGTAGCCCCAGCTGGCCTGGAACTCACTATGTAGACCAGGCTGGCCTTGAACTCACAGAGACCCACCTGCCTCTGCCCCCCTGAGTGTTGGGACTAAAGGTATGCACCACCTCGGCTGGCCTAGAAACTTCAGATTTTTAAAAATTGAAAAAATGTATACAAGTAAACATCTGGGGGCTGGAGAGACAGCTCAGTAGGACAGAGTTCTGGTTGCTCTTGCATAGGATCTGGGCTTTGTTCCCAGCACCCACAAGTCATCTAATAATTGTAACTCCAGGGGATCTGACACCCTTTGGCTTCTGCACTTACATGCAGGCAAAACACTCATACACATAAAAAGTATAATGCGAAAAACAATCTAAAATTTAGTTTTTTGTTTTTGTTTTTTTTTAAACAATAGACTCTTCTATGTAGCTGTACTGTACAAACACACTTTCCTAGCTGGGATGGAGGTTTACTTGAGAGACACATGGTATTGTGGTTAAGAACCTAGATTATGCTTGCCTGCTAGGGTTAAGTCCTGGCTCCAATACATGGTAACCTTGATTCAGGAATACATGTAACATGTAAATAGAAGGACCAGTGTTCCTAGTTCAATTTCTGGTGCTGCTGGATAAACACTATCACTAAAAAAAAAATAGCTTTTTTCAAATTTGACAAATTAACAGTAAAGACCATAGTGGGGAACAGTTCATATCTCTTACCTCTAATGATAGAAATTGTAAGATTGTTTCTTTGGGTAGATCCACCTGTTGATACACAGAAATGTACATCATTTACTAAGCACTCTAAGCAGTACATATTGACTTGTACTGTACTGGATGGACAATATGAATAGCGCTGCTATGAAAGAGATTTTTCTTCTTTCCCATTTTTATCTGTGTGTACGTGTGCATGCATGTGTGTGGAGGCCTTAGGTCAATGTTGGGCATCATTCTTGATTGGTCTTCCACTATATTCACTGAGGCAGTCTTTCAGTCACCCAGAGTTTGCTGATGTGGCTAATCTAGCCAGCTTGCTTTGGGGAGCCCCTGTCTGCCTTCAGAGGCTGGAATTATAGGCAGACCACTATGCCTACCTGACATGAGTGTTCTGGGGATCTGAACTCTGGTCTTCACACTTGCAAAACAGGTGCTTTAACTGCTGAGCCATCTCCCCAGTCCCTATAGCAGGCTTCGTGTACTGTGTGGTCATAAGATCGCAGCACTGATGAGCTAATTAGTACTGGAGACTGGACTTCTAGATTCTTAGACCTTACACCCAAACCTCTGATGCTGCTATGTATATGCTTAGGCCTAAACATGAGTTTGGCTTTCATTCCCCTCCATCTTTGAGAGGAAAGAGGAAAAACAACCATTTTCTATTTTTCACCCCAGCTTTTCACAGCTTTCGACTGTATGTATGTAGAGTTCACAGCAAGAACAGCCAGGTCACTGTGAGCAGCAAAAAGCCCTGAACTCTGAGCCACACTTGACAATGCAGAGAGATGCTATCTTCAAATTGTTAAAGAGTGACTTACAGCCAAAATTTCAATTTCACTGCTTTTCTGATGTAAATTGGCAAGGGTAGTCTGAAGTCGGGTTTGCACCTAATAAGAAAATTGAATTCAGAACATGTTAAACCAAGTCATTTTCCTATTCCAGAAAACAGCCTGGTGACAAGCTAAGGCATAGAAAGGATTCCAAACACTAAAGATTTGCTCTTGATCTACCTTGTAGGGAATGAGAGGGGAGGGGACAGGGGATTGAGTGACTGATTAGCCTCACAAGTAGCTGGGATTACAGTGCTCACCACCATACCTGGTTTAAAAATGCTCTTAATACCCACTTTTCTGTATGTCCATAGCATACTCTAACATACACATTTAGCTTGCCATTCTAGCATTCATTTGTTCTCTTAACTAATGCATAAGCTTATAAGGTTATACATTATTTGAGGCCTGGATCCATGCCAATGTATTTCATATTTTGCTCTGCCCTTAGCACAGGTGTACAGCAGACACCAAAACCATGTACAGAAGGAGAACCTTGCTCTAAGTCTTGTGATTGGCCTCTGGCCCTTGTTATTTAGAACAAAGGCAATTTCAACTGTCACAGGAGGCAGATTAGATGGGATCATCTGTTGATGGCCACTTCTCATGGGTACTGGTATCTCTGGAAGACAGATGGGGCTGAATTGTGGCACCAGGGAGATGTTCTATTGATGAGATCTTCAGAAGCCACCAGGTTAGCAAAGGGGGAAGAAATTTGCATTTTCCTTTGCTGCTGCTTGCTTCTCTGTAGCTCTCTTTAGAAAGCCAAGGAAACCCTGACACCTCATACCTGAGTCTCATACCGTCTCCTTGTGCTGGCCGACAGCTTTTCTGGGGCTATTACACTCACAATGGGAACTACTGTTGCTCCGTGAATTTCAAACAAACCTGAGATAGAGAGTTTCAGAATTTATAGCTTGATCTGGGCCCAGTTTCTAGAACACACCATAAAGATACAGCAGCTTATTAATACACATCCTGTTGTGATTCTAAGGGACAGGCCAAGTCTGGGCCTTCTTCCTTGAGACAGGTCTTGTTATATATATTTGTAGCCCAGGATGGCCTCAGACTCCCTATCCTGCCTTAGCGTCCTGAGTGTTAGGATCACAGGTATGTGTCACCATGCTTGACTTGTGATATTTCTCTTCAGTCCCTTTGATGGGGAAAATTATCCACATTTCATTTTATAGTAAACTGAGTCAGATGAAGATTCAATCAACATGTAAACAGTAAGATTAGGGTTAGAAGAGCCACCTAAATTCATGTTGTTTTAGCGTTCCCAGGAGATGGCTTCAAAGTGTAGGGATACATTCCATGTAGTACAGTTGGCTGTTTACAAGTTACTTTAAAAGGGGTTTCCAGTACCAAAGGTAAGTTAGCCTCAGTCCTTAGTGCTTAAAGCAAACACACACACAGCATTCTTATGCCCAGATTGTAATTAGTAATTATACCTGAAGCATTAGAAAATGACCCCTTCAGATTTTGTGCTGCAAGGTTATCAGAAGCTTCTCTAAAAACAAGCAAACAAAAAAAAAAATTAGGGAACAGTCAATAAGGCAAAATGCAACTCCACTAATAGTGCACTCCACACAGTAAGCCACTTTTTCTACTGAATATAAAAACAGTCCTCTTGATTAGTACTCGGAGAAAAGAAACATACACTTAGTTATGCTTTCAGTCAGGATCAGTAAAAAATATGAAAAGGATACGATTGAAGTTAAATGCCTAAGGAAAATACTGATTATTCGGCTGGGTCTGAAATCCTGGCTCCACACAAGCAGCTCATTTCAGTAAGGTATGTATGATGGGAGTTTTTTTCTCCCCAAGTTATACAAGGAAGCACTGGCTGCAGCATGAGCCTCACTAAGCAGAGAATTAATGACCACCCATGGGATAATGCTTGGTAAATATGGGTATTTCAAAAGCTGTGAATGGATGTTCTTTCAAATGTGCAAATTTATAGCCTATAGGAGACACGCTAGCACTCTTATCTTGGGAAAAGGGAAATAACCACAAGATGAGATTTTGAACCTTTCCCTGTCACAGCTAAACCTCATCCATCTAAGTACTTGAATAATGTTGGCCTGTGCTCAGTTACTTTTTTTGTTCTAAACGGGTCTTTGATTTGGAACTGCAATTCTAACACTGGTGACTTCAAGAACAGTACAGTCCTTCAGAAAAGGCTGACTGGATTCATCAAAGGTTGGTGCACATGGGAAGTGGTAGGGGGATGGGAGGAAGCAAGCAAGGCTTATTTTTATTTTATTTTTTAAAAAATATTATTTTTATTTTATGTGTATGAATGTATTGCCTGCATGTATGTGAGTGCACCTGTATTGTGCAATGCCACGGAGGTCAGAGGAGGGCTTTGGATTCCCCTGGAACTGGAGTTAAGGACAGTTCGAAGGCATCATCTGGGTGCTGGGAATCAAACCCAGGTCCTCTGCAAGAGCAGTCAGTGCTCTTAACCACTGAGCCATCTCTCCAGCCCCAAGGATTCTTCAATTTTGGCACTCGTGACACCTGGGTTTAGATAACTCTTTGCTGGATGTATATGTATCAGTCCTGTGCCCTGTGTCCTGTTCTAGCAGCACCTCTGGCCACCCTCTACCAGATGCTAGTAATACCAGTTGTGACAATCCAACCTATCTCCAAACATTGCCAGATGTCCTTTGGGGACAAAATTGCTACTGACTGAGAATTATTGATGTCAGTCTCCCAAAACTAAAAGTGCTGTTTTTTTTTTTTTTTTTTTTTACTTCCTTTTTCTTTTGTTTTTGAGAAAGGGTCTCATGGAGTCCAGGTTGTCTCTAATTTTGGTAGACAAGGATGACCTTGAACTCCTGATCCTCCTTGCCTCTACCTTCCAAGTGCTGGGATTACAGCCATGCCTTACCACACCCGACTATATTGTGTTTTCTGGTTAAGAACATGTAAGGGTTGAAAATATATAGGAAAGTATAACAGAGGAAGTTAAGATCCTCTATAAGTGTACTAACTAGAAATAACTACAACTAAACATTTTGTACAGTGATCCAGAGTATTTTGGTTAAAACAAAAATGGGATATTATCAGTCCCATTTTTGGACATCCTTTCATGTCAACAAAGTTAACTTTGGTAGAATCACCACTTTTAAATAGTGTTTCAAGGCCAGAGAGGATGACTCAGTAGGTAAAAGCACTTGCTGCCAAGCCTGATGATCTAAGTTCCATCCCCAGGACCTACATGGTTGAAGGTAGGTGAGAACCAACTCCTGTAAGTCATCCTTTGACCTACACACGTGCCATGGCATATGTGTGCCCATTTCCCCCAATAAATTAATTTTAAAAAACTTTTAAAATAGTGTTTCATTGTAATTTTCATAATATAACAACCATCTTCTATCACTGCATATTTTGGGACTTCTCAGAAGTGGGTCTGTTAGATAATGATTATGTCATGGAGACATGGCCTTGGAAGGGATTAATGATGGTCTGAGTGAGTTCTCACAAGTGTGGGTTGTTAATGATGTGAGGCCATCCCATGTGCTGTCCCCTTCTACTTATAGCTGTTTCCACTTCTCTGCTATGTTAAAGCATAGACAAGGGGCCTTTACCAGAAGATGGACAGATGGGGCTTCCAATCTTGGAACTTTTAGCTTTCCAGATTGTCAGCTAAATTGTTTTGCTTTCATTATAAAGTATTCAGTTATTTTGTTATAGCAAGACAAAACCGAATAACAGAGTTTTGAAAAACAAATGCTAGGCTGGAGAGATGGCTCAGTGGTTAAGAGCACTGGCTGGACCCGGGTTTGATTCCCAGCACCCACATGGCAGCTAACCATCCGTAACTCCAGTTCCAGGGGAACTTGACATTATCTTCTGACCTCCATGGGCACTGTACAACAACACCAGTGCACTTACATACATACAGGCAATACACTCATACACATAAGAAAAAAAAAATGCTGAAAGCAACATGACTAGTCTTATTCAAGTGTCACAAACTGCTGATTGAATTATTCAGAAGCGATAGAATGGTTTAAATCAATCTTGATTTGTCTAGCTCTTGAGAGAACAACTTTAAAATGAACGTATGTAGGCAACTGCAGAGGGTCTTCTGGGCTTTTCTTGCTAAGTTACCTGATGTTCTTTTCTTCACTGACTTTGGTTCTCAGTTTCTGCATAACATGATCCACAAGGTCAGATTCCAACACACGCTTCTCTGTTTGTCTTTCCTTCTCAAAAGACTTAACCTTGAAAAGAATGAAAAGGATTCATCATTTGGAGGTTTCTGAAGCCAAAAGTGTAGTTCAGAGTGCCTGAGTGAGGTGACCCAGTCAACAGTTTATATGTCAGTGGCTCTTAACTGGGGGTGATTCTGCTCCCCAGAGGACAATTGACAATATTTGGAAATTTTTAAAAGTGTCATTTAAAAAATGTTTATTTTTGTGTATGAGTGTATTATGCATGTAAGTGCATCTGTGTCATGCAAGTGTGTTTTACTAAATTTTTTTGAAATATTTTTAAACTTTTGAATTATTATTTTATTATTATTTTAAAGTGTATACATGTATTGCCTGCATGTAGGTAAGTGCACCCATGTCGTGCAATACCCATGGAGGTCAGAAGAGGCTGTCAGATCCCCTGGAACTGGAGTTACAGACAGTTGTTAGCTGCCATGTGGGTACTGGGATTTGGACCTGGGTCTTCTGCAAGAACAACCAGTGTTCTTAACTGCTGAGCCATCTTTCCAGCCCTGAAATTTTTATTTTATTATTTTATTTATTGTTTTATTTTATATGTGTATGAGTGTTTTGCCTGCATGTAGCTAAGTGCACCCGTGTTGTGCAATGCCCGCAGATGACAGAAGAGGCTGTCAGATCCCCTGGAACTGGAGTTACAGACAGTTGTTAGCTGCTATGTGGGTGCTGGGAATCGAACCCAGGTCTTCTGCAAGAACAGTCAGTATTCTTAACTGCTGAGCCATCTCTCCAGCCCTGAAATATTTTATGTGTATGTGTGTATTGCCTACATGTAGGTAAGTGCACCCATGCTGTGCAATGCCCAAGGACAGAAGAGACTGTTGGATCCTCTGAAACTGGAGTTATGGACAGTTGTTAGCTGCCATATGGGTTCTGGGATTTGAACCCGGGTCTTCTGCAAGAATAGTCAGTGTTCTTAACCGCTGGGCCATCTCTTCAGCCTCTGATTTATTTTTTTATTTTATGTGTATGAGTGCTTTGCCTGCATGTATTTAAGTGCACCTATGTTGTGCAATGCCTGCAGGGGCCAGAAGAGGGTGTTATATCCCTTGGAACTGGAGTTATGGACAGCTGTTAGCCACCAGACCCTGGTCCTCTGCAAGAACAGGCAGTGCTCTTAACTGCTGAGCCATCTCTCTAGCCCCAAGTACCACTTTTTAAGAAAATTAAATTTTATTTGTGTGTATGTGTGTGGGTAAGTGCGTACTATGGTGTGTATGTATGGAGATTCGAGGACAACTTTCAGGAGTTGATGAAAGTTGGGTCCTGAGGATGGAACTCAGATCATCAGGCTTGGTGGCCAGTACCTTTACCTGCTGAGCCATGTCTCAGGTTCTGGAGATGTTTTGGGACGTCACAACTGTGAGGAGTGCTCCTGGCATGTTCAAATAGACAATTAGAGGGTCAAGGTCAAGACGGGTGCTAAACAATGCAGCAATGAAGAACCATGAGGCTCCAAGCATCAAAAAATGGGGCTGGAGAGATGGCTCAGTGGTTAAGATACTGGTTGCTCTTGCAGAAGACCTGGGTTCAATTCCTAGCACCCACATGGTGGCTAACAACTGTCTGTAACTCCAGTTTCAGGGAATCTGACACCCTCCACAGTCATTGCACTTACATATATACACTCATGCATATGTTGGGTAGCTGTCCTCCAAAAAACTAGAACTGGATGGGGCAGGTCTAGAGAACAATGCTGAGAAATGCTGAGCACACTGGGAAAAAGGGAAGGAATTGTCGCCATTTTGAAAAGAGTGCTTGGACCACTGGCGAGACTGTGGGTAGGATGTGCTGATGGCGTGAGTCTTAAATATGGGGAAGAAAAAGCCTATGAGAATCCTTGCCTTTCTAAGTCACCCCCTCCCACATGTCATAAACTACATAAAACCCAAATAGAAGGTATTCTGTTGATTTTGTCAGCCCTGGGACCTCAGAGGGTGAGCACACGCATGGGTTTCTTGAAGAGGAGGTGAATTTGGTGTAACAGCATATAAAAAATAAAAATAATAAGTTGCTGCTGAGATAAACTGGTTTGCAACTGCTGAAATAGTTAATCAGGAATGACAGAACTTTTTTTTTTTTTAAAGGTAATGATGAACCAGCTCTCATATTTTAAATACCCTTCAGTCAGTCATGGAGGTTTCTCAGACCTTAGCACTCCCTTACTCTCCTTTATAAACTCAATCCTACCATCCATTTCCACAATATCTGCTCTTTCCCCTTCACTTCTGTGACCAGCACCAAGTTTGGCCTGGGATAGTTTGCTGCTCTTCACATTGTGGTGCCTGTCTTCAGTTTCCCTACTGATGATCTTTTCACAAATTCAGTTCTGATGTCCCCTTCTGACCAAACCTTTACTAGCTTCCCAATCAAGTTCAAATTCATTGGTTGAGCATTTGGGATGCCCATAATCTAGCTATAACCATTCTCTCCTCATGAAGTATATATTCTTCATCCAAAATAGACTATTCAGATATAGTGGAGTTCTGTCCTTGGGCATGTCAGAGCAGCTGTCACTGTCCACACGAGATGATCACAGGTTTGGGGCTCACAGGCTTGGACCTATTAACACTGTCTCAGAAAGGGGCAGGGAGGACCATCAGGCCTTCCCCTGAGATTTCTACCCCTCACTCTACCCTAGTTACATGTAATACGCCTCAGTCTGACATGATCCTGGGGTTAGGACTGTGGGGATGCAGCATTCATGAGCTGTCATCCATGCTGGGGTGCTGCTTTTCCAGAGGACCCAGATTCAGTTCCTTGTGGCCCCAGGGTAGCTAACAACTGTCAGTAACTCCAGTTTCTGGGGATTCCAGTGACACCCTCTTCTGGCCTCTGTAGGCATTGCATGGCACAGGTATACTTACATGCATGTGGGCAATACACTCATACACACACACACACACAAAAGATGTTCACCCTCCATGACCCTTGGCTCTATCCTTCCCACACTATCGATGTTTAAAATATATTTGAAAATATACAGGAATGGGTGAAAGAAGTGATTTCATTTTCCAAACATGAAGGTGATGCCACTGACCTACCATTAAGAGAAGCAAGATTCAAAGAGCTTGTCAGGCTGGGATGACGTACTGGAATGCACATGATAACATTAACAGAGAAGTCCCAGAGTTCAAGCCCTCATTAGGGAAGGTCAGTCAACCATGGAGAAAACTATGGAAAGGCCAGTGGGTCTCAGTTAATGATAAGTTCATTATGAGCTAAAAGAGTCACAGAGTTGCTGAGAGCTACTTTATTAACAGGATATATTAAAATCTAGTCAGATCATGCTTAGAAGACTGAAGAATTAGAGCATCATATTTAAAGACAGACCATAACAAAATAAAGTGAGTCTAGGTTAACTAGGAGAGTCAAGAACCTGAAAATGAGCTGGAGAGATGGCTCAGTGGGTAAAGGTGCTTGCTGCCAAGCCTGAGGACCTGAGTTCAGTCACCAGGACCCATGTGGTAGAAGGAGAAAACTGACACCAGCAGGTTATCCTCTGACCTCCATGTATACACCATGATATGGATGGTATGGGTACACACACACACACACACACACACATCACACACACACATCACACAAATGTCATTAAAAGAAAAGATTTCTGAAGCTCTGCAGAAGACTCTTCTCACACCTTTGGTTGTAGTCTGATCTGCTCATGGCTCGGGAAAGAACCAGAAGTGACAATTTCAGGACCTCACAGGACTGAGAATAGCAAATATGCTCAGCTAGAGTCAAGAGGCCCAACACATGGCTTCAGACAGAGTCCTTCCTGGACTTTAGACAGAAGTCCCTTAATTTAGCCCCTTAGAGTGGGGCTAAATTAGCCAGAAATACTGTTCTAGAACAACCCAACAAAGCTTGAAATCAAGCCTGGGAAAGAACACACAGAATCTAAATATCTTAGCGACATCAGAACAAAGATCAATAGTGTGTATAGGAACAGGAAAATCCAGCACTCAATACAAAATTCATAACACCCAACAGCTAATCAGAAACAACTGTACATCTAAGTGATAGGGAAATATAACTCAGAACCAGGAGAGCAGCTGGAATTAGTAGACATGTACCTTAAAACAACTATTATAATAAATATTTTAAAGAATTGGGCATGGTGGTACATGCCTAGCATTTTAATCCTAGCACTTGGGAGGCAGAATTAGGCAGATGTGTGTGAGATCAAGGCCAGCTTGGTCTGTATAGCAAGTTCCAGGCCAGCTAGAGTTACAGGGAGACCCTGTCTCTTAAAATAGAAAATGTTATGGAGTTTAGGACCCCTAGGAAAGACTACCCAGACTCAAAAAGTTCCAAATCAGCTGAATTAAGGTTTTACAATTTTATTAGAATTTTAAAGAAAAAGAAATCCTCAGGGCAGGCGAGCTGGTTAATCTTGGCAGCTGCCTTGAGGAGGCCAATGGTGGGGAAAAAAGCAAGCAAGTCAGCCACGAAGCCATGCAGGTTTAGAGCCTGTGTGGGAAATCAGACATGTGGTGGACAGGGTGGCTTTAGAGAAAAAGCAAGGAAGCGCAAAGTACCAGAAAAAAACATACTTATATTCTGGCCCGCACTAAAAGAAGGAGACAGAAAAAAAGAGAGAAGAAAAGTTGTATTTATGGGCATTGCCAAGCTGAACCTCTTGGCTGCTCAGCTTGTAGGGATTGCCTCCTCTCTGCCTCCCCCCACCCCTTTTTTTGAGACAGAGTCTCAGTATATAGCCCTGGATAGCCTGCAACTTGGTATATAGACCAGACTGGACTCTCTGTCCCCTGAATACTGAGATTAAAGGCATTTATCATCATGCCCAGTTTAAAAAAAAAAATCCATCTGTTGCAAAAAGAAGCTTCTTTGATGAGTGGTGAGAGCTACACTTATTGTGAATATGAAGATAAGTATTTAGAGTATAATAAGAAATTATACTGGTTTGGGAAAATGGCAGTAGGTTCTCCTCTAGGTTTGTGACCTCTCCAACACTGTATATAATTGATTATGTTTAAAGTACCAGGAATGGATTCCCTCCTATTGAGCCAGCCTTGAGCTAGCCAATTATAGACCACTGTTGATTACTCTCAAGATAAAAGTGTCACTATTGTACCAATAGAGAGATTTTACTGAGTCAGTTAATGTTGTGGTTCATAGACTTTACTGCTGGGGAGGACCACTGATTGGCTTTCTCCCTTGGCAGCTTGCATAGCACCTTCTCATACTATGAACTAGTCCTCAGGAAAGAGGCTTCCAGTCGGTTCCAGCTTAATTTCTTCAGGTGAAGACACAGAAATAGGCAGGTAGACCAGTGGAACAGAATAAAGAACCCAGAAATAACCCACACAGCTGCAGCTTTTGAACAAAGCTGTCAAAAACATGCAATGAAAAATAAAGACCATAAGTGGGCCTGGAAAGTGATATCCACATGTAGAAGAATGAAACTAGATACAGAAATCAATTCAAAGCAGATCATATGCCTTAATGCAACACCAGACACTGAAACTGCTAGAAGAAAACAGGTAGAATACTTCAAGATACAGATATAGGCAGGGGTTTTCTGAAATGGACTCTAGTGGCAGAGAAAATAATCCTAAGAACTGACAAATTACTTTCAGGGATTACCTGAAAGTAAAAACTGCTGCATAGTAAAGGAATCAATCACTTGAGTGAAGAGACCTCCTACAGAGTGGGAAACTCTGCCAACTATGTATCAGATAGGGGATTTACCTCATAGAATTCCCAAACTTGAATACTCAATATGTGGATTAATGAACAAAATAGATGGTTCTCAAAATAAGAAATACAGATGGCCAACTAAAAATTTTTTTTAAAAAAGTGTTTAACATCCTTGGCCACCAGGGAAACACAAATGAAAACTGGTTTAAGAGTCCAGCTCATCCTACTTGAAATGGCTATCATGAAGAGAGCAAATGCTGGTGGGGATGTGGGGAAAGGAACACTTCTACACTACTGGTGAGACTATGAACGTACAGCCACCATGGAAATCACTGAATGATCCTTCTATACTGTTCTGGGTATAGACCTGAGGGACTCTACATCAACATACCACAGCAATACAATAATCCATGATTATTGTTGCTCTTCACAATAGCTAAGAAATGGTTACCAATCTAGGTGTCATCCAAAGATGAATGGATAAGGAAAATGTGGTCCATATACATAACTAGAATTTTTTAAAGCTGTAATGAAAAGTGAAATTATGACATTTTCAGGAAAATGGATGCAACTGGAGATCATTATGCTAAGCAAAATGAGCCAGACACAGAAAGACGAATACCACTAAGTTTTCTCTTATAAGAGGAATCTAGATTTAAATTTGTGTGTATGTAGGTCATGGAAGGGGATCATGAGGGAAGAGAAAGGGATCTTGAGGGGAGTGAGAGAGGATAATGGAATCCAAATGACTGAAAGCTGAAGGAAGGACTATTTGGAGGGAGGAAGGGGACCAGCATGAGCAGGGTGGGGGGATGGGGAGAACCATGGGGGAGGGGCAGGCATAAAACCAAGTGCAATGACATGCATATGAGACACATTGAAACCTATCACATGTATGTTAAATTAATAACAAAAAGATCTGGGGATACTAAATTACTAACATGTTTTTTAAAAAGAGGGATAACAGAAACTACCAATGTCAGGGATGAACAAGGGAACATTATTCCAGAGAGTAGAGATGGTGGAACAACGACGGAGCATCTGAAAACAGCCACAGTGGAAACAATTCCAAGAAAAAGTAAATGTTCCCAGTTCACTCTATAAGAAAAGAGGCAGCCAAATGGCTATGGATTTAGGTCCATATGGTTTTACTGGTGAATCCTATCACATATTTGAGGGTATTGTTCTAATTCTAACTGCATACAAACTCTTACAGTAAACACAAGTCCAACTCATTTTAGAAGACCAGTATCACTCTGCTATCAAAACCATAAATTACAGAAGAAAATAAGAACGAGAGAAGTTGAAATTCCCTGAATTTAATAATTGAGAATAAAGGTTATGAGGTAGTAGGTTTAAACATTTTTAGTCAGAGCAACAAAGTAAAATTGTTTGGGAATCAGCCAGAAGACATGCGGAGTGGCAGGCACACCTCTCCTTACGATTCTGACTTTCTTAGGTGGAGAAAGAGAGCAAGAAAAGTAAGAGGAACCTGCAGCCACAGGTTTATATGGATTTGTTTCCAGAGTCTACCTTATTTTATCCACTTCCTCCAGGGAGAAGACCAGTTTTTAGAAGAGCCAAGGAAAGAGATCCTTCCCCATACCAGTAGCTCCACAGACAACACATAATTTGAGGAAAATGCTGGTTGATTTCCTAGGGGGTCTCACTGATGTCTGTCTCTGTCTCTGCATGTGTGTGTGTGTGTGTGTGTGTGTGTGTGTGTGTACACGTTACTGGGGACTTGTCTCTGCGTGTGTATGTGTGTATACACGTTACTGGGGACCGCATCCAGGTTATGTCTGTGTGTGTGTGTGTGTGTGTGTGTGTGTGTGTGTGTGTGTGTACATGTGTGTGTACATGTTACTGGGGACCGCATTCATATATGCTTGCTAGGCAAGTGCTCAGTCATGGAGTTAACTTCCCAGCCCTACCCAATCATCTTTACCTTGACATGGCTTCCTTCTTTATCGGAGACCAAGGCCACATAAGTAATTTCATGATGTCTGCAGTACTCCTGTAATTCTTCTTGGGACTGAAACAAACAGCGAGGCAAATAAACACAGTGTACTCGGAGCCCCCTCAGGTCAGTAAAGAGAATGAAAATACTGTTCTCAAATGTATTCCCAGAGTGAATTACCAAATATGCTGACTTTAGGGGCTGTGAATGCTAAATCCTGGAAGGAATTCTCTTTTGCTTTCCTTACTTTCATGATTGCCCTAAGGGGACCAATTGTTCAGGACAGGAAAAGGGTTTCAATGACTTCAAGTCTTAACAAATGGTGCCAACAACTGTAACACACACACACACACACACACACACACACACACACACACACACACACACACACATACAGATGAAGAAGCCTTTGAGGGAAGTAAGGAATCAGAGGAAACAGTGAGGGTAGAAAGCAGAATTAAGCTGGGCACACACTCAGAAGGCTTAGGCAGGAGGATGGGCTACATAGGGAGACCCTGTCCTCCTAAACAAAAACACCACTTCTCTAACAACATATGATGCAAACAAATAGATGAGGACATCTTTCTGTTAAATGTTTAAGAACTGATGCTCAGCACTCTTCTGACAAGAATCTTTATATGCAACACACATAGCAAATGTACAACAGCAGCTGCAGCAGGCTGGTGGCAGGTGACATGAATAGAGCAGGAGGCAGTGGCCTGTCTGTGCTCCTGACTACTGTAGTACCCGGGGGCACCGTTAGTGTGGACAATCTGCTTGTAATTGCAGATACTAGGTATCTAAAGCCCCCACCCCAATTGTGAAAGGCAGACAGGTGTCTCTCGGATCTACTTTCCTCACCTCCACAGTCATGGCAGGTGATAGTCCTGCATGCTGGAGGTCTGTGGACACAAAGCCACAAACACACTAAGCTCAGAGTGTGGTAAACTGGCCATGGCCATGCAAAGATGTCTACATCCCAATCCGTAGAACCTGACAGTGATTGCCCTGGGCCATCACAAAGGCTGAGTCAGGCAGAGGTAGAAAGAAGGTAAGGTCAGGAGGCTCAGTGAGAGCCAAAGAACATACCACACTGCTGAATTTAAAGGAGGAAGGCAGAGCCACAGAATGCAGGAGGCCTCCAGGAAAAGGAAGGGAGGACATTCACCCCTAGGGCCTCTGGAGGGACCCAGTCCTGCCAACCACTGACTTTAAAGCCAGAGTTTTGACTTCCAGGAACACAAAGGTATTAAGCTACTGGGTCTGTGGTCGTTTGTTACAGTAGCAATCAGAAGCTAATACAGGAAATAACTCTAACCACAGAGATAAACTTGGTTAGATAAACTTCAAGGGTGTAGACTCTGGTAGGTACATCCAATCCTTTAAAATTAAAAAAAAAATACATATTTTTATTTATGTGTATTTGTGTGTGTATGTCACATGAGTGCAGGTGCCTGAGAAAGCACCTGGAGTTATAGGTGGTTATGAGCTACCTGACACATGGGTGCTAGGAACTGAGCTCAGGTCCTCTGGAAGAGCAGCAAGTGTTTTAACTGTTGAGCCAACTCTCCAGCCACTATGTCCAATTTTGACAATGCTACATAACAATATCATCTACAAAGTTCACACTCATGAACATCACAATCAGGCTACAAATGCATAAGTAAACATAACAACAATAAATCTTGTACTGTTTTAACAAGTTCATGATTTTGTGTTGAGCCGTATTTGGCTGATGCATCATGGAGCCATAACTACGGGCACTTCACTGGTAGGCACTTTCTGCCCCTTACCTGTGACCAGTCATACACGATTTCTGCTGTGATTCCTGCCGTCCAGAGTTTCTGCGTCAGGTTGATGGCCCTGGACGTGGACATCTGGCCAACACTGACAACCAGGAGATCACAGGAGCTTACAGTAACCTGGAGGAGAAGCAGAGCAGTTACACTGGAGGTGAACACCACAGGTGTGGGAAGTGGCCCTCACAAGCAGATGACTGTCCTTGGAATCCTGAACATCCACACTGTGTGCAGATCCGAACTGCAGTTATAGATGGTTGTTAGCCACCATGTGGGTGCTGGGAATCAAACCCTGGTCCTCTGCAAGAGCAGTCAGTGCTCTTAACCCCTGACCCATCTCTCCAGCCCCTACATTCATCTTTTAGGACAGAAATTATTTTAGCTACCCGAGCCATTAGGAAGATGTTTTTTCTCCATACTTTGCCTGAAACACAGGGGAAAAGACATTTTTAGCTGTGCAGACTACAGCAACATCTCTGAGCAAGGGGCTTGACAAAAGTGTGCTAACAGCTAAATATTTTGCTGTGCATTATAGATGTAGAAAGAGGCCAGGAGAGGTTAATCAATTGCTACTGGTCATAGGACAGAGGACAGGGGCTGAGCTGCCAAGGGCTGACACTAAATGGAGATTGCACGAAAAACCCCTGACATGATTAGAAATCACTCCCATTGATGGGTCTTATCAGAGTATTGTTAGCCTCTGTTTTGAGATACGACACTAGAACACACTGCCCCCCAACCATAAATTGATTCCTTGTTTTGCAAACAAGTTCTTCTATTCATATGGGCCCTAAGCCCTTTATGAACACTCCTACCCATCACCTATAACTCTATCTCCACATAAAAACATATTTAAACTGCCCTGCTGCTTGACCAGTCTGGCTGCTGTGACTCCTACTTGTCAGGTAGCCACAGCTCACTGGCCTTAATAATCAAGGTCAATCTGGATTGTTGAGGATGGTTGTTTTCTTCTCTGCCTGCAATTTCTGCTCCTGTCACCAGCTCTGAGGCTTATCCATCCTGTGAAAGGTCACGTCCCAAACCCTGAGCTGTCACATCTGTGAAGCAGTTATGAATAGCCTGTTGGCTGGGTGGCGGGTTTCGCGGTGCTGGTGCTGGGCGGGTCTCTGGCTCTCTGCGGCTGGGAGTGCAGACGGGCTCTGCAGATCGGCAGGTCAGGGGCGGGGAGTGCAGGTTCTGCGCCAAGGCAGGCTGCTGGGCGCTGGCGAGTGCAAGCTCTGCAGGGGGCTGCAGGCAGGCTGCGCCAATCCGCAGGGGGCTCAGGCTAGCTGCGGGACACTCTCCCTGTGCCCGCAGTCGTTGGCTACTGGTCCGGGGTGGGGGGGGGCAGGGAGAACAAAGCGGAGAGCACAAGAAAGGCGAACACAGAACGCAGGAGCTTCGCGAGTGAATGTTGATGGGGGACAGCTCCTCCAGGGAGACTGAATCACAGGCTGGTCCCACACGCAGTAAGACACAGGATACAGCTCAGTCAGACTCAGTGATACAGCTCCGTTTTATTAGGGTGAAACTAAAAGATTTATAGTGTGGAGGCAGTAACAAAAGCCTCAGCTGATAGGTGCTCTGTAGTATGCTTCATTTACATGTGGCAGTGGGCTTCTATGCTGTCAGACAATGCCTGATTATAAAAAACCTGGTAGTTTCTATGCCAGAGGTCATGTTTCCGTTAAGGCATCTGTGATGGGCACTTCAAAGGTGAGCCAGGAGGAGAGCAGGAGATGCCCTGCTGAAAACGGGAGTCTTTCCATCAAATGCCGAGCGGCTATCTGGACATGGAGAGACTGCGACCCTAACAGCAGGGGTCCCCAACAATAGCCCTTTGCCCTCATTTCCTATTTCCTAAAATCCCTAGTCAGTGATCCCCTTCCCCCTGTAATGATAAGGAAAAGTGATATTCCTTTTTTTAAATATTTTATTTATTATTTTTGTTTTATGTGTACGAGTATATTGCCTGCATGTAGGTAAGTGCACCCATGTTGTGCGATGCCTGCGGAGGATAGAAGAGGCTGTCAAATCCCCTGAAACTGGAGTTATGGACAGTTGTTAGCTGCCATGTGGGTGCTGGGATTTGAACCTGGGTCTTCTGTAAGAACAACCAGTGCTCTTAACCACTGAGCCATCTCTCCAGCCTGGAAAAGTGATATTCTTATAACTAACTATATTCTTATATGGTCCTGATAAGCTTAGGCCATTTAAAAGTTTCCATGGTTTAACTTACTGGGTGGATACCTTGAAATGCAACCCTGGGATACTCAAAGATGTTTGATTGCTCTGTGGAGTTCTCACTACCCTGAGATATTTTATTACTCTGTAAAGTCTTGAAATTCTGTGATGCTTTCCACTCACTATGTCTAACTATTGATAAAGATGTAAAAACTAAAAGAATGGGAAGCTCACCAAATTGTTTAATAAGGCATCTGGTTCAATTAGTTCAAGAAAAGTGTAGATCAAATGTGTCAGAAATCTAAGCTTCTGCAGATGATATCTTCTTTTGTAAACTGAAATGACCATTTGACCAGGTCCTAGCCCAATTAGTCTAGTACAGCTATAGATCAAAAGGAAGCACATGTCCTAACCCATACCTGCGGTGGCTCATGCCTTTAATCCCAGTGCTAGGGAGGCAGAGGCAGATGGATCTCTGTGAGATCAAGGCCAGCCTGGTCAACACAGTGAGTTCTAGGCAGGCTTGGGCTAGAGTCCCTGTCAAAAACAAAATAAAAAACAAACAAAAATTATGTTGGCCAAGTAAACTCAGGAAGAAATTCCTGAGATAACATGGTCCATCATGAAAAGAAACATAGGGCCCAGGTGCTAATCATAAAATGATGGTGTAATTTTCAAATGTTCATATGAGAGTCCATTGGAATTTCTTGACAAGGGCTTCCAAAAGCATCCCTCTATTGGGTTCCTCCTCATT